TGTTTCCGAAGCTCAAGGTAAAAATCCTGAAGAATCTGAGCAGCTTCTGTGGATAGCCTTGGATATACATACTGCCGAGCATAACCAATGTACTTTCTCAACAGCTGGTGGGGAATTAGATCTATTGTTTCTCCAGGAACTACCTAAAGCATGATAAAAAGGCCCAACATTACAAGGATAGCAAATAAAATCTTTCTATTAAAATAACTTGTTTAGATAACATAAAAAATTCTAAAAGACTTTCCAAATAAGACAAACACTGTAGTTCTAGCTCTGAGTCTAGCTGGCTTAGATTATTTCAATTAAAGTTTACATGAACCCTACTATTGCAATACAAAAGGTTTCAGTATGAAAGCAACATACCACTGCTCTACAATAAGCAACATACCAAACTCTGACATTCAAACACAACCAATCTGAATGATTAAGAAACAGAAGCTTACCTTTAATCTTTCTGATAAGGGCTTATCAGACACCACTTCAAGTACAGAAGTGTTTGAATCCTGACTATTTATGCGAGCTACGGTGGCACTGCTAACAGTTCTCTGCTTTCCAGCCCTTATTGCAATCACATGTTCAGAGAGTAAGTGATCATGATCCTCATTTGGGGTATCTAACAGGATAAAGACCAAGTCAAATCGGGACAGCAGGGCGCTCCCCATTCTAAGAGGTATAAAAGAAAGAAGAAATTGATTAGAATCAAAACAAATAGAAAATGGTTTACTCACTTGTTTACTATTCAAGTTCCATGTCAATAGAACTTTTAAAAAATGAAGTTTAGGTTGAAGAAACAAGCAATAGCTTTTGAACTCGATAACACGCACCAACTCTGAAGAGACACCAGGCCACACACCCTTCAACATGTAAACAAGCCATAAATGTACCTACCTTTCATAAGTTGAGGTAAGGCCCCTTCTCAATCTCTTTTTTTTTTTAAATTAATATTTATTTATTTGTGTGTCTGTCTGAGAGAGAGAAAGCACAAGCTACAGGCAGAGGGGGAAGCAGGCTCCCTGCTGAGCAAGGAGCCCAATGGGGCCCAATCCCAGGACTCTAGGATGATGACCTGAGCTGATGGCAGATGCTTAACCGACTGAGCCACCCAGGTATACAATCTCTGTTTTCCATATTACTACCTAATAGTGAGCTTCACAATGACTTTGAATTCTAAGATACATGGTATATGATTCACCAGAGGTTTTCTAATTGGGTGGTTTTAATCTTTTGTACTTTTTCTCTCACCAAAAGAGTCTCTCAATGCATCCATGATCACTTAGAAAAAAAGCCCACTTTTCTTAAAAGTCATTATAATCAGGGCACCTGGGTGCCACCTCGATTTCAGCTCAGGTCATGATTTCAGGCTGTGAGATCAAGCCCCACATCAGGCTCCATAGGCATGGAACCTGCTTAATATTCTCTCTCTCCCTCTCTCCTCCCCTCACTTAAAAAAAAACCACCAAGCCATTATATTCATTATAATAAAAATGCTGTGTTCTGCCTAGTCATCTTGTCGTCTTCCCTGATCCCACCAATCAGATAATCCTTCTATTTGAGACAAGAAAACTAAAATCCAGAGTGATTAAAGAATTGGCCAAGGCCCCAGAGCAGGTTTGGATACCTCTAAAAACCAGAATCCAAGTCCTTGTTCAACAGCATCTTTCTGATTTTTCCAATATAGCAGTTTTTCATTTTATTAAGAAAAACCAATAGATGGACTTTTTTGGTGGTGGTGGTATAGCTTCTCCAAGTATAACTGTACATTTTGCTATGTATCATTTCTATAGTAAAGGTATATATTATCATCAAACATTAGGCATTAGGAAATCTGTTTTTTTTTTTTTTCCTCTAGAATTTAAGCTTCCAATTTTTTTGGTCTTTTTTCCTTTTTTTAAATTAACATAGAATGTGTTATTTGTTTCAGGGGTACAAGTCTATGACTCATCAATCTTACACAACACACAGTGCTCACCACAACACGCACCCTCCCCAGTGTCTATCACACCACCCCATCCCCTAACCCCCTCCCCTCCAGCAGCCCTCAGTTTGTTTCCTGAGATTAAGAGTCTCTTATGGTTTGTCTGCTCTCTGGTTTCATCTTCATTTTTTCCTCTCCTTCCCTATGATCCTCTGCATTGTTTCTCAAATTCCACATATCAGTGAGATCATATGACAGTTGTCTTTCTCTGACTTATTTCACTTAGTAATAATACCCTCTAGTTCTATACGTATCGTTGCAAATGGTAAGATTTCATTTTTGATGGCCGCATAATATTCCACTGTATGTAGCTATACCACATTTCTTTATCCATTATCTGTCAAACCTTCCAGTTCTTCACATGAGGCATCCTTTTGTCCTTTTACTCACTTCTGCATCATTCAATCTATTTCCCCCTTCCTATACTTTTTGTCCAACGTACACAGAAGAAATTAGAAGAGAAAGCATATACAAACGTTATTTTTGGAAGTGGGATCATACCCCATTTATAAGAATATAATGTGCTTTTTTTTTTTTTTTAAAGATTTTATTTATTTGAGAGACACACAGAGAGAGCATGCATGCACAAACAGGGGATGCTCAGAGGGAGAGGGAGAAGCAGGCTCTCTGCTGAGCAGGGAGCCTGACACGGGGCTCCATCCCAGGACCCTGGGATCATGACCTGAGCTGAAGACATGCTTAACAGATTGAGCACCCCCCCAGGTGCCCCTATAATGTGCTCTTTTAACAGTAAAGCACAGAGCTCTCAGCACATACACAGAGCTACTTCCGTTTTTGTAATTGTTACTTTGCACCATACAGCCTTGCCATAGTTTAACCACTTCCTTATCAAAGGGCATTTTAAGTTGTTTCCGATTTTTGGTTGTGATAATGCCATCATACCCCACCTGTAAATATATCTCTGTACACTTGCATGACTATTTCTGTGAGTATGATTCCTAAAAGTAGAACTGACTAAAACAAAGTGAATGTACATTTAAAATACTGATAAACAGGGCACCTAGGTGGCTCATTTGTTTAAGCATCCAACTCTTGATTTTTGGCTCAGGTCATGATCTCAGGGCTGTGAAATCAAGCCCTGAGTCAGGCTCTGCACTGGGTATAGAGCCTGCTTGAGCTCTCGCTCCTCCTCCCTCTGCACCCCCCACCACTTGCTCATGCTTGCTCTCTCAAGAGAAATAGTGATAAACATGCCAGTTGTCCTTCCATATGCTAACCTGAATATGTGAGAACCCTTTTCTCCAATCCTTTGTCAATGATTATAAATATTTGAAATGTCTGACAATCTAAGAGCTATCAATGGTACTTCATTGTTTTAATTTGTGATGCTCAAACAACATGGTTTTGTACATTTACTGGAAGGTTTCATTTCTGTAAACTATTATGTCTTCCGTTATCTTTTTCTTATTGATTTATAAGGATTCACTATATTAAATGTGAGAAAGGAATCCATCAAAATCCTTGAGGAGAACACAGGCAGCAACCTCTTCGACCTCAGCCATAGCAACATCTTCCTAGGAACATCGCCAAAGGCAAGGGAAGCAAGGGCAAAAATGAACTATTGGGATTTTATCAAGATCAAAAGCTTTTGCACAGCAAAGGAAACAGTTAACAAAACCAAAAGACAACTGACAGAATGGGAGAAGATATTTGCAAACGACATATCAGATAAAGGGCTAGTGTCCAGAATCTATAAAGAACTTAGCAAACTCAACACCCAAAGAACAAATAATCCAATCAAGAAATGGGCAGAAGACATGAACAGACATTTCTGCAAAGAAGACATCCAGATGGCCAACAGACACATGAAAAAGTGCTCCATATCACTCGGCATCAGGGAAATACAAATCAAAACCACAATGAGATACCACCTCACACCAGTCAGAATGGCTAAAATGAACAAGTCCGGAAATGACAGATGCTGGCGAGGATGCGGAGAAAGGGGAACCCTCCTACACTGTTGGTGGGAATGCAAGCTGGTGCAACCACTCTGGAAAACAGCATGGACGTTCCTCAAAATGTTGAAAATAGAACTACCCTATGACCCAGCAATTGCACTGCTGGGTATTTACCCTAAAGATACAAACGTAGTGATCCGAAGGAGCACATGCACCCGAATGTTTATAGCAGCAATGTCCACAATAGCCAAAGTATGGAAAGAACCTAGATGTCCATCAACAGACGAATGGATAAAGAAGATGTGGTATATATATACAATGGAATACTATGCAGCCACCAAAAGAAATGAAATCTTGCCATTTGCGACGACGTGGATGGAACTAGAGGGTATCATGCTTAGTGAAATAAGTCAATCGGAGAAAGACAACTATCATATGATCTCCCTGATATGAGGGAGAGGAAATGCAACATGGGGGTTAAGGGGGTAGGAGAAGAGTAAATGAAGCAAGATGGGATTGGGAGGGAGATAAACCATAAGTGACTCTTAATCTCACAAAACAAACTGAGGGTTGCTGGGGGGAGGGGGGTTGGGGAGGGTGGGGTTATTATGGACATTGGGGAGGGATGTGCTATGGTGAGTGCGGTGAAGTGTGTATACCTGGCGATTCACAGACCTGTACCCCTGGGGAAAAAAATATATGTTTATAAAAAATAAAATTTAAAAAAAAATTTAAAAAAAATAAAATAAAGGTATAAATATAAATATCTGAAGAGACTTACTTTAAATTCTCAGAAACTGTCCGGGCTTTATTGTAGTGTCCTCCAACTGGATTTGCAGCAGCAACGATGGATGTTCTTGCAGGGAGGCTACAAACCATGCCAGCCTTAGCAAGACTAATACTTTGCTGTTCCATAGCTTCTAACAAGGCTTGATGTTGATTCCCCATCTTATCAAATTCATCTATCCCACAAATACCTATAATCACAGTAAAATAATACAGACAAAAGCTTTCTTTGGTCAAGCTCCAAATCTTGACCAAATCTTGATGGAAACGGTTTCATAATAAAGAATAAAGAATAAAGAATTATTTGTGAATGTTTCCAGCAGTTAAAATTATGAACTGTCGGGGTGCCTGGGTGGCTCAGTCATTAAGTAACTGCCTTCAGCTCATGTCATGATCCCAGGGTCCCGAGATCCAGCCCTGCATCAGGCTTCCTGCTCTGTGGGAAGCCTGCTTCTCCCACTCCCACTCCCCCTGCTTGTGTTCCCTCTCTGGCTGTTTCTCTCTGTCAAATAAATAAATAAATAAAATCTTTAAAAAAAAAATTATGAACCGTCATACTCTTAAGAATTTGTGCCTGTTTTACAGCAAACAAAACACTCCTCTTAACTAACTTTTATTCAGTATTTTCTCATTCAGCATTTTCCATAGGCAAGTGTTGTGAGGGCTATAAAAATGAAGATATGAGAGTGACCCTCAAAAAGCTCAAAGACTAAAAAAAAAAAAAAAAAAGCTCAAAGACTTACATTCAAACAGGTGAGATAAGATACAGTCATATTCAAAAGATAGTATTATTTCAACAACTGCAAGAATAGGCATAATTATGTAAGTTCAGTTTTCTGGGTAAGGAGAGGACATTTGAGCAAAAACTTCAAGGTGGAAAGGGACCAGGCCTTGCAGACCTATCTGGGGTAAAGAAAGCATGAATACAAAGGCCTAAAGCAGGAATGTGATGTATCTGGAGTGCTGGTTGTGTTCCAAGCATAGCCAGAAGGCTATGTAGCTGGAGAATAAGAGGGGAGAAGTAGATGATGAGGCAAAAGAAGTGATTTGAAGGCCAGAATGTGAATAGCCCTGGACCACTGTCAAGCCTTGAGCTTTCACTCTGAGTGAGACAGGAAGCCACTGGAAGGTCTGAGCAGGAGAATAACTTGATCTGGTTTTTTTTGTTTTGTTTTGTTTTGTTTTTTAAGATTTTATTTATTTATTTGACAGACAAAGATCACAAGTACACAGAGAGGCAGGCAGAGAGAGAGAGGAAGGGAAGCAGGCTCCCAGGACCGTGGGATCATGACCTGAGCTGAAGACAGAGGCTTTAACCCACTAAGCCACCCAGGCGCCTTGATCTGGGAGTTTTAATGGGATAGCTCTGCCTTGTTAAGAACAACAGGAAGGGCAAGGGTGGTCACAGGCACTATAAGATTGCACTACTAATCCATGTAAGAGATGACAGCAGCCCTGGAGAAGAGGCTGGATGGTGGACATATACAGAAGGTCGAGCCCACAGTATTTGTTGATAGACTGGATACGGGGTATGAGCAAAAGTCAAGGATGAATGCACATTTTCTGATCTGAGCAAAGAGAAGGATGGAATTATCACTGACTGAGATGAGAAAGCCTTTAAGAAGAATCAGTTTGAAGGGGAACATTAGGATTTCAGCTTAGGACATGGTAAGTTTGAAGAAGAGATATAAATTTGGAAATTTTCAGCAAATAGCTAGGCAAAGCCATGAGACTAGATAAGATCAAGAAGGTAAGCACAGACTAAGAAAATAAAGGCGCATGAAAGAGGCATCTGGAGGTGCCAACCAGTTAAGGGTGGGGAGATAAAGAACAAGACTGAGAAGGAACAGTCAATGAAATGAGAAGAAAACCAGAAGAGTTTAATGTCCTGGAAACCAAGGAGGTAAAGTATCAAGGTGGGAGGGGACAGGGGGGGTGGCAGGCCGGTGAGGGTGCTGAGAGGATTCAGAAATGTGGAGGTCATTGACAAGCAAAGGAATGAAGGACCTTGACTGGAATCTGTGCACTGCCTGACACATGCAAGGGAACATGCTTTTCAGTAGGGTTAGAGCATACCAAGAGAAACTTGGGTAGCAAAGCTCAATTAGAGATCCCTTCTTGCTGAGGCCTCAAAGTGGATTTCTTATAAACTAGCAGTCAAATTCTGAAAAACATCCAATGAGATGGGCTAAAAATACAGCAAAACTTCTAATTATAAAGTAATAGCTCTAATTTCTTATTTTAAGTCCTCTGTGACTAAAAGGGTAACATTCACCTTAACCTTGAACTATCATGATCCAGATGATATGCTGGGCTAAGTAATAGTAAGGCATTCAGCAAATACTGATCCAAATACCTATGTATTGGGCAATGTGAATATGGCAGTTAATAGGATGACCAAATGCCCCCTAATGTAAAGTTTTAAAACAGGCTTTAAATAAATGATCACAAATGTGATGGTTGTTATGAAATGGGAAGTACAAGGAGCAATATATAATTGTGTCTGTTGCAGGATTCTGAAAATGAATGACAGTTAAGTACCAGTTTCAATTCTGCAGTATAAACTGTATTTCCAATTACTCTTTTCTGGTACTCATTCTCAACTCACTGGTTGATACAGTGCTATCCAAATGCCTCTTGAACAGAATGTAAAGAAATTAACTGGAAAGAGAAAGTCTTAAAAAAACAGCCCAAAGCTCCAGAATTACTAATTATTTAGACCTGTAATAATGCCTTTAAAACCCTTGGCTCAATTTAAAAATAGAAGCTGTAATATTAGGGAAATTAAATGTTGTCAACAGTGGAGAGTTTGGTCTCTTACCTTGATCGCCAAGTACAAGGGCACCGGCTTCCAAAGCAAAATCTCCAGAGGAACTATCTTTTGAAAGAGTTACAGTCAAGCCAGAGGTTGTTGTGGTATTACCACAAACATACACACCACGGGGAGCAACGTTGCATACTGCCTAGGGAAACAGAAGGTTTAAAAGAATCAGCCAGGGGTGTCTGGGTGATGCAGCTGAGCAATGGACTCTTGATTTTGGCTCGGGTCCTGATCTCAGGTTTGTGAGAGCAAGCCCTGCATTGGGCTGCACACTGGGCATGGGGTCTGCTTGGGATTCTCTCTCTGTCTCCCTATGGCCCTCACCCACCGTGTGCTAATAAATAAATCCTAAAAAAAAAAAAATTAGAAAAAGAATCAGACAAAGTAAAAGGGAAAAACAGCTAATAGTGACTGCTCACAAATGTCAGCTATATGCCAAGTACTCTTCTAACAGCTTTACTGTATAATCTTTACTGCCACAGTTAATAGCAAGGTACGATTACACCCCCATCTTGTGACATAGAAAACCAAGGCCTGCAGAGAGTAACTCACACTGCTATGAAGGTGTAAACCCAGGCAGCCTGCCTCTGATGTCTGTGGTCATATGAACACGCAGTTTCATTTTATGCTTCATTTTCAAGTTCAAACAGAAAATACATGAGAGCCAATTTTAATTTCAAAGGTTTCAATGCTTCTTTGTATAGCAGGTAATAAAACAGCTCAATAATGCTTACCTTGTGAGTAAACAAGCTATGGCAGGTCAGAAAAGTGGTTAAATAGCACAAGAATTAAAAGCCTGGACCTTCAGAGTCAGGAAGACTGTTTAAATCTTGGCTTTACTGTATACTGGCTATGCTGCTCTCAGATCTCTCTGAGCCTCAGTTTATGTTTTATCACCTACATCCCTGAGGAGTAAGTGAGATCATATATGTAAGGCACTTAATCTGGTACCTGGCACACATACCCAATGAAAGGCAGTAAACAATTCGTAACTGTTAGTGTTAACGTAATTTTTTAAAACTCTGGTTTAGCAAGGCTAGACCACTTACATACAACACACTCCACTGTCTACAACATTTAATTTCTATTAATATTACAGTTTCTATTTTTAAATTAAACTAAATGGCATTATCCCAGGTTTTAAAAAACATGAAAAACTGCCAGTGTCATTCCTTGGTATTAAATTTTTTTTCAGTACCATTAAATGTATTTTGAAACCATCATCTGCCAAGAACTATTTCTTAAATTAAAAAGGAGTAAGAGAGGGGTATTTGGGTGGCTCAGTTGGTTGGGCTTCTGACTCTTGATTTTGGCTTGGGTCATGATCTCGGGGGTTGCAGGGCTGAGCTCCATGTCAGGCTCTGCACTTGGACAGGAGTCGGCTTGGGATTCTCTCTTTCCCTCTGCCCGTCCCTGCCGTGCTAGCAGGTGCACTAGTTTGCTCTCCTCTCTCAAAATTTTTTTTTTAAGTCTCACTTATGTATTTGAGGGAGTGAGCAAGAGAGAGCATAAGCAGGGGAAGGGGCAGAGGGAGAAGAAGCAGCACACTCGCCGCTGAGCAGAGAGCCTGATGCGGGGTTTGATCCTTGGACCCTGAGATCATGACCAGAGCCAAAGACAGACACTTAAGTGACTGAGCCAGCCACTCCTAAAAAAGTAACTCTTTTTTTTTTTTTTTTTTTAAAGATCTTATTTATTTGAAAGAGAGAGTGAGAGAGAGCACAAGCAGCAGAGAGAGAGGAAGAAACAGACTCTCCACTGAGCAGGTAGCCCGATGCAGGGCTCGATCCCAGAACCCTGGGATCAAGACCCAAGCTGAAGGACAGTGGGCTTATAAATGCAGTGATGAGGTCAAAGTTGTTCTCAATACTGGCTGCCCAGCGCAATCACCTGTGGAAGGTTATACACACACAGATATACCAGAACCCTAATCCAGAGGTTCTTAATTTAGTTGGACTAGGGCATGCTCCAGGATTTTCAGAGTTCCAAAGATGATTCTGATATGCAGTCAGAGTTCCCCTGAACAAAGATTCAGTAGCCACAGGACTACTTACAAAGAGATCCCTGGTCTGGTCACATTTTCCTTCCTTCCTTTTTTTTTTTTTTTTTTTTTTTAAAGATTGTATTTATTTATGTGACAGAGACACAGCGAGAGAGGGAACACAGCAGAGGGAATGGGAGAGGAGAAGCAAGCTCCCCATAGAGCAGGGAGCCTGATGCAGGGCTCAATCCCAGGACCCTGGGATCATGACCTGAGCTGAAGGCAGACGCCTAATGACTGAGCCACCCAGGCGCCCCTCTGTTCACATTTTTCTACACTGGGGATGGTCAGAAGGAATGGGACACATGGGCATTCTCAGAAAGGACATTATGACTGGCTTACCAGGTGTCATTCCCAGGCAACCACAAGTATTCCAATAAGCAGAACCTACTAGGGCCATCATAAGCCCTGGTGGGAGAACCACTAAGCTCTCACTGGCAGAGGCAGAATGTTCTTAGGCACCAACAAGAAGTTGGTCACAGAAGCTGCCTTACTTAAA